TAACTTCAAAGGAACTTTAAATTTGATTCTTTTAAACTTTCAACTCATATTTCCTAGCATTTGAAGAAGTCATTTTATCTTCTCTCATGAAACTCATTGAGTTGCATAAAGTTTCTGAATTTGAAATATTTCCAAATGAAACTCAAATCTTTTCAAAACCCTTTTCATTTAATTAAATGGAAGAAGTCATATCATCTTCACTCTAGGGTTTTGTGATGAAATAAATTTGAATTCATGGAGATTATAAATGCAAGGTGAGAGTTTGGGAAAGTCCTTTTATTCCCCCTCATTTAACTTTCAAAAGGTTTAAAATTTCACTCAATTTCACACAAACAACCACACCACAATCAAACAAACAATCAAACTATTTATTTAATATAACATTCCAAAATTTAGAATTTTGGGATGTTACACATCATTTTGCTGGAATAAAAGTTCATTAAAACTTATTAATATGAGATCTAGTTTTACAGATCTTGATAGAGAAACACAATGGTGAAAACGGTTCATGATTTGATCACATGGTTCAAGAGATATACTATCAGTTTAAAAGATAGAATCTATGAAAAGAAACACAAACGGATCCACTCGTTTCTCCAGTGCGCGGGAATATCAAAACTCACATGTTACAGCAAGTGATGCACTTGGGGCGCATCACTTCTCAACAATAGAGGAGGTGGGAGTAACCTTTGTAAAACTACCCTTAATTAATGACTAGCTAATTGTCCGTGGGTTGCAATGGGAATATACATATTCTAGTGGTTCAACATTAATCACGCCCAACATAAATCTTACACCCATCATATTCAAGTTTTTTGTACGATTTGATTTGAGTGTGGATAGGGGAGGCAAAAAAATGTTTTATTTAGGTGAGGTTTTGATAAGATTTAATTTGATTTGATTTGAATATAAGCATAAAAAGGGTAGGTTTTTCTGATTTAGTTGATTTTTGATAAGACTTAATTGAGTTAATTCACTATGTTTGTGGCAAAGATACCGAGTCTACCTTTTATGCCTTGGTGACTTGTGATCATCCCTATAGGCTTTGAGAGTTGATGCGTGAGGCGTGGCCTCTTCTTAATTGTTCGTTACTAGTAGATTCTGGGAAGGAATGGGTTTTGAACTTGCTAGTAAACTACGCAGAATTGGTGTGATTATTATCATGCTATGGCGTATTCGATCACTACAATCTGATTTGGTGCATGGAAAAGATGTACCGTCACCGATGGCCTTGTCTGTTGATGGGGCGTACTCAACAGTGAATTAGACCATGACGGTTGGCAATTCTAAGAAGGCCTGACGAAAGTGTTATATTTGCTACTTATAGATTTTTATTCAACTGCAATGATGCGTTGGAGTTCGAAATCCATGTGTTGATGCAGGGCATGGCATTCGCACTACAACACTAATGGACCAGTGAGTCCTCGAAGGCAATGGCTACTTTGTCCAGAGAGGGTTTATCACGATCAGCATATGGCCATTTTGTGTCCAAGATCAATCACTTGATGACAAATGTGAGATTTTATTCCTTTGAAGCTTAAACGGGATCAATAGGGTAGCAGTCTAGCAGATCGATTGGTGTCATACAGTCACACTAAGCGCTGCACTCGCTATTTTCAATAGTGGCTGCTCCTGTTGTTCCAGATCACTCGCATGAGTCTCCGAGCTTCCCATTTGATTATCCTTTTTTTGGCTTGAGGAAGTAGCCTTCTTTGAGTATGTGATGTATTCTCTATCATGGTACTTACACCGGAGATTCTCCCACCATGAGTGTTGTTTTCATTATTCGACACACTATTGTATGACTACAACTAGGACCACTATCTATTGATGATTTCTACCTCTCGAATTAACCTTCTTACATGGAATAAATTTCTTTCACCCCCCCCCCCAAATTCACTATGTGAAGGGGGACATGAGGGGGAGACGACCATACAACGACCGAGAAAATCGGGTATTTGCCACTTTCAACATGCGGCTTTGCAAAATTGCCATTGTCAAGACATGCTTCATAAAATTGCCACCCAACTCATGGTCACTTTGATCACCATGCCATTTCCACTCTTTTATTGTTTTTCTTTCTGTTTTCCCATTTTATATGCTCCTGAAAGGACTAGACTGCCCCTGGCTATTCCAACTTCATATGTTCCGTGCATTGCTTGGTGTGGTCAAAATGCTGAAATGCTGACTCACCAGTGTTGCTCGCCGCAGTAGCTCATCCACACCTTCGTGCGCCAGCAAAGTTCGCTGCTGGTTGCTCATCCACGCCCGCCCGTTGACGTAACTCGTTCTCACCTGCTCATCATGTAGCTTGCCCACGTCTACATGCACCATTGGAGCGCTCTTGTTTGCTCGGCGATGTAGCATGCCCATGCCTGCGCACCTGCGAAGCTTACCGTTGCCTGCTTGCGCACGCCTGTGTGCGCTGTTGCAGCTCACATCCCCTGCTCGCCCACACCTGCGCTCACAGCTATAGGTCGCCCCGCATCATGTTGGTGGAGTGATGGACATGCGAGGGCGGCGACAAACAACAACACCAATGGTGTGGGGGAAGCAACTTGATACGTCCATGGAGGATGGAGAAGAATGTGTGTGTTGGTGCTGAACATGGAGAATACGAGAAACTTGTAAGCAAAATTGTACACCCTTGTAAGCTATACTTCGCTAGAACCTGTTACTACTTGTTCATGGATTGAATTAAGGATCAAGCAAATAAATCAAGAGAAAGAGATAATACAATATTATCTAGACAAACTAGGTTCCAAGCAGCCGTTGCGGTACTGCCATACCAGGTACGTGTTGCGCAGTGTCTAGGAGATCGACGGTGGTGACGTCCAGGAGATCGACGTCGAGGCCGATCGACATCACGGCAGCGTCCAGGAGATTCTTCCTATAGGTAATATGCAATTCATAGTGTTTTTGACTGTTTGCCCGCATGTTAAGTCAGAACACAGCAAAGTACTGCGGTGACCGGGTACATGTAGACATTCAAGGGTAGTCTGGTCCTTTCAGGTGCGTGTAAATGGAAAAAATAAAAGGGAAATCGATAAAAGGTGGAAAATAGCATGGTAATCAAGGTGGGCATGAGGTGAGTGGCAATTTTGCGAAACCTATCTTGATAGTGGCAATTTTGCGAAGCCACATGTTTTTTTGTGGGAAAGCAAAGCTTTATAACTTAACGGTGCTCGGGTAAGTCACCCGAAACACAAGCAGCCACTTGGGGTGGTACAATAGTGTTTTAGCCAATGCTGTCATTTGGCAAAGATAAATGACCAAGTTTCGCAAGTTCATGCGCTAACAAATTCGCCGAGCGTCTATATAAAGAAATATATTGCTTCGAAAACCACATTTTAAGATGAAGCTTGGTATCCTTGATGATGGCCGCATACAGGGACGAGTCAACCTTGGACAAGTCGAGAGCTTTCTGCAATAGCTGTGAGTCGGTCTCGAAGACAACTCGAAAGGCACCAATGTCAGCTGCCATGGCAACTGCTTTAGACATGGTCGCTACCTCGGCTCCAAACGAATATGCTATCTGTTCTTTTTCTACTAGCCCGAGCAAGCACCACCTCACCAATCTCATCACAGACCACCGCGCCCCATGCAATGAAATTCTCACCCGGTGTATATGCTCCATCTACATTAATTTTCAAAGTGCCCTCAACCGGCGCTGCCTACTTGCTTACTGTCTGTATCTTGCCCTTCGTTCTGAACAGTTGCATAAATTTCAACGTACTGCATTGCACTCTATGAACCAGCTCGTTGTCCGTGATTGGAAGCTCCCCTTCCCTTATCTTATTCCTCTTGTTCCACCAATTCCACCAGAAGGTGAGGATTTGGACACACACTTTTTCATCTAACCTCCATAGAAGATCCATAACTGCATGCCTAGATGAAAGTTCTTCCAGCTCCACGCGTATCTTCTCCAGGCTCATAGCCCTCCATACTTCTTTGACAGCCTTGCACTTGACAAAGAGGTGTGCCCCGTCCTCATCCACCCTCCCACAGAAGAAGCATTTTGAGCTTTCAAGCTTGACCCCTCTCCTCATCAAGTTGGTGCAGAAAGCCAGGGACTCATGCTTGACTCGCCAAGCAAATATCTGAATCTTACGTGGGCATGGCAGCTTCCAGATTCTCCGCCATGACTGGTCGTCCCATCTATCCAACCTCCCTGCCCCCATTGTACTACTGCTTGGGGCCCCGTTCTTTGCTTGTTCCTGCAGCTGTACATATAGTTTGTTGGCGCTTTTCACTGTGTGGTTCCCTTTCGAGTCAAAGTGCCAAGCCATGAAATCGCTCACTTATTCACGCAGGGGAATCTGGAAAATGTGTCGTACATCATCCGGCCAAAAAGTGTCCTTGACGAGTTGCTCATCCCAAGACCCCGTAATCAGGCAAATAAGATCGCTGACCTGTGTAATTAGGTTCTGCCCTTTTGGTGTGATAACCCGTCGCGACCAAGCCCTTGGAATCCAGGGGTCAGACCAGATGTTGACTCCTAACCCATCATCGATTCTCCAGATATAACCCTTCTTGATCAGCTCGAGGCCACGTAATATAGTTCGTCAGGTATATGATATGCCATCTCTAGGTTTTGCATCCAACAAGTGAAACTGAGGGACCGCACTTTCATTATACGTCCACATAGAGAGTCGGGGTTTTGAAGCAGTCTCCAGCCCTGCCGTGACGACATCGCCATGTTAAAACTATGCATGTCCCTGAATTCTAGGCCACCCATGCCTTTGGGGAGTGTCCATGTCTCCCAACTTAACCAGTGAATGGTATTCTCTTTTTCCTGTTGGCTCCCCCCGATTTTCTCACAACGACCAGCTCTCCTTTTTTTTCTATGGTTTTTTTAGCAACTTCTATGGATTTTGTTAATTCCCCGTCTAAGCCCAGCATACCGAGTTTCAATCAAGCTGGCTTAATTGGGAAAAAGGCCCAGCCCAACACTTCGTCACCCGGGGAGAGGCGGCGGCGACCACCCCGGGGACTCTCCGATGGCGACGGAGAAGGCGCGGCAGCTCCTGGCCCGCCTCGCCGCCACCCCGGACGCCGCCGTTCCTAACCTCCCCTTCCTCCACCGCGCACTCCTCCTCCCTCTCCTCTCCGCCGCCTCCGCCCTCCTACGCCTCCCCGTCATCCTCTCCTCCTCTCCGCTACGCTCGCGACGGACCCTACCGGTCCCCGTCATCAGCGTAGGAAACCTCACCTGGGGCGGCAACGGAAAGACACCCATGGTCGACTTCCTGGCCCGCAGGTTTCACAGTATGGGCATCTCGCCACTCATCCTAACAAGGGTAAACTCGTCCTCCTAATGCTGCTTGCTTGCTTGTACTTCTTCACATTTGTATTGTTTCTCATTCAATCATTTAGTTACGCAGACAAAATTTTCAGTAAAAATGGGGTCTCTTCATCAGTCCTAAACTAACGTTTAGCCACTGTCACCTAGTTCATTTCCAATACTTCATTTATATTTCTCGTGATGCTACCTTTGAACAAATCAGTCATAAAATTCGATGCTGTAGGGTTATGCGGGTGGCGATGAATCTAAGATGCTCCGGAGGCGCCTTGCTGATACTTCCACCAAGATTGGTGTTGGCGCAAACCGGGCTGCCGTGGGTTCTTCCATGTTGCAAAAGTATGGCCATGTCGATCCTTGTGATGCCTTCCGCCGGGAGAAGTTAGGGTGCAACCGGGTGGCAAGCGGTAAAAGTGCGAAAATTGGAGTCGCTATACTGGATGACGGAATGCAGGTATCAAGTATTTGTTTTTCTTTTCTTGTATAGACAACTTATATGGATCAATCCATCAGTACCATGGAATCTTACTTGGAAAATAGCTAAACAGTGGCATCTTTTAAACTAATAATGGTCAAGCATAGCTGTTCCTTCAGGAAACACATGTTCTCATGTATGTATTCTCGGTTCTGTCTGTCGTTTCTTGTAGGCAGCACCGGAGTCTGCTTCGAGATGTGGAGATTGTGATGGTCAATGGGTTGACACCTTGGGGAAATACTCATTTCATTCCACGAGGACCCATGAGGGAACCGTTGAGCGCACTTACTCGAGCTGATATAGTGGTTATTCATCATGCGGATCTGGTAAACGATAGTCTCAGTAACTCAGACTTTCTTGTAACTTATTTGTGTTTCCTGTTTGAGTATTAAATGTTTAGTGGCTGATATTGTTCTTGACATGAAGCACTGAAAGTGTGATGTTGAAGTAAGCCAGCACAAATTTAAGCTGTCACATAAAAATGTATTTATAGCGACCATGTGATTCTAAGTATTTAGAATTTACAATTTAGAATTAAAATAATCCAAGGTGCTTTCTTACTTTCCCTCATTGTTAACTGAAATTGCATCCGGAAAAGGTGGGGCTTAACCATTAGTGAATTCCGCACTGCAAGAAATGAGAGATGTTGGTATCTCTTTTACCTCAAGCACATGAATAATCTCATAGGTTGTTCTCTGAACTACCATTTGCTATTACACAGGCTTGTGAAGCGCAGCTGGAAACAATTGCACGTACAGTCCAGGATAGTGGCACAACATGTTCAGTGTTCTTTAGTAAATTGGCCCCATCACATATTTTCGAGGTTCATCAACCATTACAGAAAATATCTCTTAATGTGTTGGGTGGCATGATTGTGCTATGTGTTTCTGCGATTGGCTGCCCAGATGCTTTCATACATACAGTCAGAGAGGTACTTTTTTCCCTCACTTCCTTTGTCTAGACCCTTTTAGCTTGGTGTGTCTTATCTTGAAATGGAATGCTGCCTGTTGTAATCCTACTCTTTTTGAGAAGACAGTGTAAGTGTTTATAGAGGTTCATTGCCACTATGTTTTGCTGCTTGTATATCATCAGACTTAATTAATGTTTCCTAGGTGTATCACACCAACTCAAAACTGGAATTTACAGATAACTTTATTAAGTTTCATGTAAAGCCTTAAGATGTTCCTGTATGTTTTCCTTCATTCATGCTTAGCTGCCTACCTCACACTGTATCATAAGACTAAGGTGGTCAGCCAAACAAACAATACATAGTCAAGTCACCCCACATCTGTAGTCGATATATTTTAAAAAAATCTGACAAAACGCAAAGCTTGCGTCTCGATGCATTGATAGAAAGAAAGTATATACAAGCCTGGAAATATGCTAAACAACCGACCACTCAAGACCTAGACAGGACCATGACCAAAGGTTGTTAGACACACGTTACAACCAACGCCACCAAACTACCTCTGGCCTACATGCCCACTAGTCGGCCACACAAGCACACAGAACGCCGTAACCCACCAGGACCCCGAGATGAGATGAGAAGAGAGAGTGGGTCGTCGGACGGGAATATGGCTCAGCAAAAGATGCCAATTACATACAGCAGGGTGTCGTCGGACGGGAACCAAGACACGTGCACAACAGATCAACCCTCGCGCGACCAGCCACAAGGGACCAATTGGACCCAACCAGGGCTGGTCCTGAGATTTCAGGGGGCTGGGGCGAATCTAGAATGCGGGGCCCTTAGTATAAACGTCTAAATTAGAATCAACGCATGTAGATAAAATTTTTGACCCCAAAAAATAAGTGCATCCAAAATCACAAGCATATCAAATAATGTATACATATTACCTTCAATTTTTCTACATTCTGAGATGCAAAATCACTAATGATAGTAATCTACAACAACAACAACAACAACAACAACAACAACAAAGCCTTTAGTCCCAAACAAGTTGGGGTAGGCTAGAGGTGAAACCCAAGAGATCTCGCAACCAACTCATGGCTCTGGCACGTGGATTGCAAGCTTCCACGCACCCCTGTCCATAGCTAGCTCTTTGATTACTAATGATAGTAATCTCATCCAACAATTTCTTCTCAATGCATACAGTTGCCAAGCCATTTAACCTCTCTTGTGACATTGCAGATCTCAGGTATTATTTAAACACTTTCAACTTTGAGAAGCTTCTTTCAGCTGATGCCCACAGTCATTGTAAGTAAAATCTAATAGGTAATAAAAATATTAGGATGACAATCTGCTTCTCTGGCAAACTCAAAAATCTCCATAGCAGGCATTGGTCTATTGGGCAAAGTCAATTGCATAACCACTTCACTCATAACCACTTGCAAGCTTACTGCAACTTTCTTTTAGTTCATAACGGTCCAATAACTTAAAGGCCGTTGAACTCATTAAAAATCCAAATATATTTTTGAATCATTGGAGTTCTTCAAATATGCTTTTCAGTGAATTGGTTGCCACATCAACCATAACAAAACAAGAAAAAAAAACTTCAAAAGCCTTCTGAGCTTGCAAGATTGCTTCATCGCAGTCAGTTCAATCAAATTGCCTCTTCCTAGGTGCACGGCGTTTTACTAGAAATGATGACTCTACACCCGTTTTAGATGCGATTTCTTTGGCAATGATCACACCAGAAGCAAACCCTTCATTTCTGTAAGTGCCAAAGTAATTCCTCATACCTTCTATTTGTGTTAAGGCAGACTCAATGCACATGGATAGTGATTGCAACTTCCTGCTCACTATAGCTACAACAAATAGAATATCATTCCAAATGACCCTAGCCTTGGGTTTGGTACCACTATCTTCACTTAACTCAAGCAAAGCTCCAAAGAAATCACATCTAAATGGGCGTAGAGCTATAATTTCCAGTAAAACATCGTGCTCCTAGGAAGTGGCAATTTGATGAAAGTGACTGCAATGAAGCAATCTTGCAAGCCGACAAGGCTTTTGAAGCTAAATATTGTTTGGTTATGGTTGATGTGGCAACCAATTCATTGAATAACAGATTTAAAGAACTCCAATCATTCAAAAAGTATATTTGGATTTTTAATGAATTCAATGGCCTCGAAGTTAGTGGACTGTTATGAACTAAAAGACAATTGCGCTAAATTTGCAAGTTATTTCTCTTCAGATGATTCATCTAATGTTGGGTTAAAGGATCTAATTTTTGAGTTAAGTGTTATGCACTTGACTTTGTTCAATAGACCAATGTCTGCGATGTGGATTTTTGAGTTTGTCAGAGAAGCAGATTGTTATCCTAATATTTCTATTGCCTATTGGATTTTATTTACTATGACTGACTGTAGCATCAGCTGAAAGAAGCTTTTGAAAGTTGAAATTGTTGAAAAACTACCTGAGATCTGCAATGTTAAATGGCTTGGTAACTTAATGCACTGAGAAGAAATTGTTAGATGAGATTGATATTGATACTATATTAGTTGCATCTTGGAATTTTAGAAGAAAATTTCGAGTTAATATGTGTAAATTTCTTTGTATGATTTTGGATGCACCTATTTTTTGGGGGTAAAAAATCATGTCTACTAAGGGCCCCGGATTGTAGTTTCCCCCGGGCCCCTGAAATCTCAGGACCGGCTCTGAGCGCGTACTGCAGCAAGACGCGCCCTCCGGTGATGCGAGGGGAGGGGGCGAGAAAGGTGGTGGTGGTGTGGACTGTGGAGGCGCTAGGGTTCCAACTTGCCTGATGTATTTCAATCGTTTTCTCTGACTAATCTTTGATGCTTTTACTATAATGGAATCACACACATACTGTAATAGTGTGCTATCCTGCTACTAGGAAATCATGCAAATAATCCTTTACTTATTGGTTGCTGTAGATTGGTCCACTTAATGTTGATAGGTTGGATTTCAGTGATCATCATTTCTTCAATGATTATGTAAGTGTCTGCTATCTCTCTTCATGTTCTTTCCATGGTCGTTGCTAGTTAGGAGCTCCACATCAGCAAATCAAATCAAGTTACATGTACTTCCAGAATGACATACGCATGTCCAGCTGTACATGTTACCTGGCTTGGCAATGGGACTGTAATATGTACCATTTCTGAAAGTGAAGCAAGAAATTGCTCCCATTTTTGGCTGAAACAATAGTCTAGCTGTTGCAATACTGCATTTGTAATATATATTTTCTTAATACTAGCTTCTCTTTGTCATTCACTGCATGGTGATTGATTTTCTCTCCTTGTTTACCTACTATAGGACCTAGAATTAATCCAAGAAAGAGTGAGGCAGCTTGTGGATCAACATAACAAAGAGACCGTAGTCTTAGTTACTGAGAAGGTATTTTGCCATCTTAGAATTCCCTCCGTACAATTTTCCCGGATAATCCATTTGACTGCTTATTCCATGTGTTCTTCTCCCTATTTCTCTGTCAGGATTACGACCGTGATCCAGATGTCCTTAGAATGTTGGGCGTGAAGGTTTGGGTTCTGTCTTCTTCTTTGCAAATTATGGCCCTCAAGGAACAAGGAGAAGATGAATTGCTGAGGAAATTAAAAGACATTATCACAGCAACTAGGCATGTGGTCCAGCCATGAGTTGCTGATGGATCTGGTTATATTCGGCTGGGCATATCTTGAAGCAAAAACAGTTTTCCATTGGTCCTGTTAATTCCGTATAATGTTATATCAGATTTATCTGGTTAATTCAAATCCTGTTTTGGCGTTTTGGAACATGCAGTATTTTAGTTTTTTTTTTCAACTGGGTCAGTGGTCTGAGCCTCCAGTTAACTTGAACTGGATCTAACAAGATAATGAGGAGGGGATTCCCGTCTATTGCTCATGTGATGCTTTTGGTTTCAGTTTCTTTTGGAAAAAGTTGTTAGGTAAATATATCCATCAATACTCTGATATATTACAATGCTCACTTAGTCCTGTTGACATTCTGGTTATTACAATGCTCCTATTCTAACCTACACAATACTACAGTACATTCCAAGGTACTACGTGCACCTACTAATTACTAGTCATCTGTTGGTAAGAATTTCTATGACGTGCATTGCATTATGTGCTAGTAGAGCTGCAGAGCGGACAAATGAGGCATATCCTTGCGTGTTTTATCACTGGAGAGATGGGTGCATTTCACCCCTCAATGCTTTGGGATATCTGAATAAAAAGTTCAGACTACTTCTATTTCTTCGTTGCACTTTTATTTTTTTGGTTTCCAATCCAAATAAACTTTCAAGTGTCTGTCAAGTCTTCCAGTTAGCATAAATTTCGCACAGCACAGTTTATTCCAGGGAAGTGTAGGTATATATACTGCGTGTCACTTTGGAAGATATTTTTTTAAATCGTGGGCTTCTTGACCATGTAATGTATACTTGTATAGCACTTATATACTCAAATTACCCAGCTCACCAGTCATGGAATTGTAAGGCAAGGACAGAAGCATCCTGGTTACTTACACTAGGAATTTTAAATTAAGAGAACAAAAGGAGTGCCTGTCTCCTAAAGTCAAATAAATGTGGGCATGTAGCATTGTGCATGGATTAGCGGTACTTGGTTAATTAGCTACCCATGTATTAGGTCTTTACCTAACTAATAATGAAAGAGGAGAGGAAGGACACTGCACATGTACTAGACATAAAAGACGACACTGTTCTGCTGGCAGGAGAGCTAGCTAGAGACGTGTGGCCGGCTGGCTGTATCAGTATGTACTGCATAACTTAGTTCATAAATATTGAAGTTCATTGGTACTGCTTTACTGTAGAATTGTACATGTAGGTGCAGATTCATAGCAGTACATGTAGGCACGTGCATATACTAATTACCACCTCTTGGTAGGAAATTATTTGATGTGCATAGCATCATCTGTATACTCAATTATAGCTAACTACGTATTACACAAGGATTCAGATTAACCGAACAAAATGAATGCTTCTCTTCTAATGGTGGCAGCTAGAGGTGTGCATGTAGCATTATGCATTGACTGATTAGCAGCAATTGGTTAATTAGCTCCCCATTCACTAGGGTAGGGTTTTACCTAACCAATAATGAAACAAGGAAGGAATGACACTGCACATGCACACATAAAACAATGCTCTGCTGGGCGGGGAGCTAGCAGCTAGACGCTGTAAGTATGTGAACATGTGCAGATAGAAGTATATCTGTACTGCTGCACTGTAGAATTGTACATATGGGTACTCAGCGCTAGCAGGTTACAAATTCACAGCAGGACGTGCATGCTTGAATTATTCCATCGGCCTTGCATATGCTGATTTGCATATGCTGCTTCTTATTATAGTTCCTGTACATGCTACCTCCCGGCCGGAATATGTGTCAGCAGTGGCATATATTGCGAGTGGGTGTAGTATTAGTATATCTGCATGTCAGCATCTACACCGCCCGCTTGGTCTTTGCTTTAACATGTGCACTTCACCACTTATGCTTTAATTTTTACCCATAGGTGCATTTCCTCATTTCACACCATTATTCCTTACATGCAAGCACTGCATATATTTGTCATGGAATAATAATTATTATCATGTGCTAATTGGCCTAGTAGTAAATAATCACTTCTTGTTTATCAACCTGATCTTGATATGATAGTATAATATATGAGAGACATATTCTCTCTCTTTTCTGCAATGCTTGTACCCTACATATATAGGAGTGTGTGTACAAGACAAGATTAGATCATCACTTTGCCCTATCTACTGTCTGCTTGTGACCTGACTTGAAAGAAGAAGCAACCTTGTTCATGGTTGACGAGGAAAACTCCAATGCATGGCAGACTATAGGCGAGGCATCACGAGGCAAACATGAAATGAATATTAGAGATTTGGTTCTAGCGCTGTGGAATATGATTCACATAGATTAGCTAATAAGATCTTAATTTATGAACTATACATGGTAGATTGGTAGTGAAATATATAGCTATATATGTCCTCTTTCGCAAACAAGGCTATTTATTGCCTATATCGTTTGAAGATTTTTTTTTTGAAAAATAATTTGTTGAAGAAACGTTAACAGATAATTAGTTTGGAACAACGATATTGATGTTTTGTCAATGAATTTGAGTTTCTGCTTCACATTTTGTACACAAAAATCTCAACAGCTCTTTGTTTCCTGATCAAACATCATGCACTATTTACGACTATGAATGATCCATGGAAGCACAAACTTCTCCAAGAAATCAACATTGAGAATTGACAAAATCACATGTATTGATAAGACTGCCCAATTAAGCAAATCACCTGAGATATCAAACATGGGAATCATAGAAGAAACTCTCCAAGTAATCCGAGCATAATCAAATTAAACACTTGATAGGAGGTACAAATTGTAACATGATTTGATTTGAGCTTTTGCAGAGTTCAATCGACATACATACATACACACATATGTAGAGAAACAAGCTTTTGGATTCGGATAAATTGACTAAGGGCAATCAAGAAGAATTAAGCACAAACGAAATAGAGACCGAGGGGGAAAAGAAGAACTGAAGCATGAACACTCACGCACACGATCGAGTTGGAAGTGCAAAATTAGAAGATTAAATCATGCAACTTTGGGAGCAGCAGCTAGCTAGTCCCAAGCCTAAGCTCTAGATCCACTTCTTGCCGGCCTACTCCAAGAAGGAGAGGGCTAGGGCTTGGGGCTGCTTTGGGTACCTTTGTATCACCGTCGTCAGCTCCTTGCATTCCCTCTCTTTCACTTGATGCTGGTGACCACCGCAGGAAGAACGGTAGCGCCACCGCTGGAGGCTGATCGACGACACGCCTGCGCTTCCTCCTTTCCCCCTCATCGCCGCTTTCCGAGGCTTCCTCAGCAGGCATGGAGATGAACACCTTGTTCCTGCTCTCTTTGATGATGCTGGATATATAGGAAGGAGAGGTAGTAGAGGGGCCTATCATGCTGGCCTGCTGATCCTGTGGAGATTTAGGGCGCACTGCCGCCCTATACTGCATCCCTGGCTGAAGGTGCTCATGATGATCATGAGGGCTTGTCGGCTGGGGCTGTGCTTGATGGTCTGGCGGGGAGACGCACTGCCGGAGACGAGCTCGGTCGCGGCGGTGCACGTTCATGTGTCCGCCGAGCGCCTGCGCAGACCGGAACTCTCGGCGGCAGAAGGTGCAGGTGTAGGAGCGCGGCGGCCACACGCAGCCGGCACCAAGGTGGCCCGCGGCGTCCCGCGCGAACGCCTGCTCCTCCCAAGACGGCTCAGCTGCTGACGCCGGCGCCGGGCAGGTAGCAGCTGTACTACTGGTAGTGGCGGCGCCCCACATACCCCAGTAGTAGTTGGCAGCCATCTGCTAGGTAGATGGATCGCGGTTGCGGTGGAGTTCATGCCATGGGTTGGTTTGATCGAGCTCTGCACTGGTTGGTTGGTACCAATACTAGATGGCTAGCTAGCTATAGCTAGTAGCCTAACTAGCAGTAGTGCATGCCAAGTTAAGATGTAGGAAGATGACCGCTGTTCTTTTTGTTGTTTGCGTTTACATGTATATGTACCACATGAGTAGTACTTGAGCATAGCTAGCTGGGAGATGACTACCATGTTTGATGTGAGATACACTTCCTCTACCTAGCTAGTTTACAGTGTTTTTGTTTGTTTACCACTAGCTAATATCTGAGTTTTATGATAAATTCATCTTATTATTTGAAGATATCAATACTTAGTGTTTTAAAAAGTTTCACCAGACTTTTTCGGTAAAAAGTTTCACCAGACATATCCATAACGATAGCATTCTTTCAACTCCAGTGGATGCAAAAACAACCTAATTGTAATGTGCTTTAATTATACAATACTTTCACCTGCTAGTTAATGTGAACATGACTAATGTTTAGAACATGCATTATCAACCATTAATTTGGATTCTATCTCAATTTGCCTAATAATTGCACAATCTTTTTAATAACTTCTTATTTTTGTAGATCATATAACTCTATGTTAGGTTCATCTATCTATCATGAGCTAACATGTGTTAATTTGTTTGAGAAAAGGAAGGGTGAGCCTCCTCGCCTCTTCATCCCTGGTTAGCATATGTTAATGCTCAAGTGACAAATGAAATCTGATTATATGCTCAGTAATAATTTATATTTTTACAAACATGATACAAACACAGACGCTCGCATACACCCACGCACACTCACCTAATGAACGCAGACACGCACTCCCTGAGCACCTCTAAGAGACCGAGTCGACAGATCTAGAGGTTGATGAAGTCATCACAAACACCTCATAGTTGATGAGCACGCCATACCACAGAAAGAATAGCGCAGGAGAACATGAAATAAATTCAGGAAATATGCGATCACCCATACTAAGTCTAAGACTTGAACCAGGTGGGCTAGTTCCACCATAGGGAAGCTAATCATCTAAACTAAGCTTAATTCACACATAGTGATAATTTGCATGTAAATTGTGTCATGATGTACCTGTAAATAAAAAAAGAGAGAATGTAATGTGAATAACTGCTCTCATTTACTAGTGATCGAATGAGAACATATGTGATTGCCCTGTGAGAAGTTGTCTTATGTTCTTCTACAAATGGACTATGTATCTTGTGATTGTTCTGTTCTTGCTTCTTCCGGGTCTCTCAACTTACATCCATCCGGTTTTGTGAGACCCATGTGTGGGTGTTTGCAGGCTAGCGTCTTGGGAGCGTTTGTCGGTCTGCATTTGTTGTTGTGTGGCTTCATGGGTTGGGAATAGTCTCTTTCCTTGTAGGGTTGTTGCTTGGTTGCATTTTTTTGGACAAGTTTCTAAAGGTTTTCACCTTTTTTGTAAATTAACTGGGCAACCCCTTTATGCTTAATTAATAAATGAGACAATTTTTTGCCTCTGTTTCCAAAACAAAATGTCAATAAAACATTTAATGATTGTCCTCCTAGGTTGTTGATATCGTATACAACATTCAGTAGGCATTCTTCTGTTTTATGGAAAATCCAATATGATTATCACTAACGAGCCATATGTGTAGAAGTGCATGCTCTAGGCAATGCAACGAAAAGACGAATCTGATGAAAGAGACTAGGCAATACTTTATACGTCAACACTCCCCCTCACGTATGGCTCCCTCAGACCTAAACGTGGATCAAAAGTGGATTGCAATTTAATTGCGCCAGTCAAGACCTCTTGGGTCCGATACCATGTAGAAGTGCATGCTCTAACCGAAACAACCAAAAGACTAATATAATGAAATAGACTAGACAATACATTTATACGGCAACAATATGTGATAAGGGGTCTGGCAAGCGGCTTGAGCCTTATGCAATATTCGTTCAGAGGACTGTTAAGCCATCCAAGTTGATAGAGTGTCACTACAGGCTTGCCATCATAGATAGATCAAAAATCTCTGAAGGGCATCTACAATTGTTGATAAGACAATCTTTTGTTATGCAATACATGTCATCTACAGAAGAGAAAAAACATGTTGTACAAACTATCTCTGATGACTGATGTTTGTACGCTCCTAAAATTATGGGATAGTTAATATGAAACTAGAGAAATAACAAATGACAACTTTAGCTATGACAGAAGACAAACCTATTGTTTTTCTATTTTCTCTCTTTCAACTCAGTAATTAACTTTAGCTGCAGTAGTGCTTTAGTTTTACTTAATCATTTTATTTAGTGTCTAGTTAATTAGTCTAAGGAGTTGATTTAATTTCTAGCGATTGCTTTGTAGTATTTGTAACCCTAGATTACTTAGGAAAAAAGTTGTAATTAACTATAGTGTAGCTGGAGTGGCCAGTCGCCTCTCCGTACATGTAGATGCCAGATGACCCAGTCAGATTTATTGTCTGTCAAACTTGTTGAATGGTTAGTTTGACAACCGAATCTTAGTTTCAGTTTGACGAGTAAATATATTAACTAATCAATTATCCTGGCTGGCCGGCACATATGCAACGACTCAGCTGACAGTACGCATGTACCACCACTACTAAGCAACAACGAAGAAAAGCATAATGATGCACTGGGTAGTACTCCTAAACATGCGTTAACTTGCACTACTCAACCACCACTTTTTGGCCCTAAATTTGTCTTTCCTCTTGTTCCATCGATGGATGCATCCATTATTTATGCCCAAGTGACGTCACTGATCGATTGCAACTCTCCGACCAGTCCATATATCCAGATAGATTAGTCTCTCGTATCATAATAAAGTTGATGCTTGTGTGATTCCCTTTGCATGCCTTGTCCCCTTTAGTTTCTCACTATCTCTATTCTCTACTGATGCTGCGTGCAGCCACTCTTTATGCGATGATTGCTTGGTCGTTTCGTCAATAAAATCAGTGAAGTATGCCTTTTCTTTTTGTTTACAAAAATAATGTAGCCTTAATTTACGTGTGTGCAAAATGGGCAGATGGTAAGAGAGAAAAGGTAAATATAATTATTGTGTGGTTATACCAGAGAGCACGCAGGCCAAGGGCGATGAGATCCCGAATAATAGGATCGGCCTACGTCTACGTAGAAAATACAGTTACAGCAGACGGTACGATGTACAAGTTCTAACTCCCCCCTCAGTCGGAACTCCATGTGGAAGGATGTTCAGGCTGGACCTGAAATCAGTGAACACTTGTGACAGCAACCCTTTGGTAATATGTCCGCAAACTGAGAACTTGAGGGAACATGTAGAACACGAGCTTCACCGAGGGCCACCCGATCACAAACAAAGTGCAAATCGATCTCAATGTGTTTTATGCGCTGGTGTTGAACCGGGTTGTACGCAAGGTAGAGTGCACTGATGTTATCACAATACACAATAGTAGTACACGTTGGTGGAAGCTTGAGCACATGGAGTAGTTGTCGCAACGAGCAGGACTCAACAAACACAATTTGCAACACCTCTATACTCAGCTTTGGCACTAGACCTTGAGATAGTAGGTTGCCTCTTTGATGACCAGGAAATGAGGTTTGTGCCAAGGAAGACACAAAACCCAGAAGTAGACTTACGTGTGTCCAGACATCCTCCCTAACCCGCATCGGTATATGCTATGAGATCCTTCGAGGAGGACTTGTATAGTTGAAGCCCATAATGTGACGTGTCTTGCAAGTATCGAAGGATCCTATTGACAAGTTGCATGTGAGTGTCACGTGGCACATGCATGAACAACAAGCTTGCTGGACATCATAGGCAATATCAGGTGTGTGAGGGTGAGGTATGGGAGTGCGCCGGCCACGATAGTGCCTTGGATTGCAGAGGAGTTGACCTTCTTGGGAGGGCAATTTAGAGCTCGTGTCTACGAGGGTGGAAATCGGCTTGCAATTGAGCATTTTGGCACGCTCAAGAATCTTGAGGGTGTACTATTGCTGGCATAGGAAGAGGCCGGAATGGTTGGCGGTGACATTCATGCCCAAATAATGATGAAGGCCACCTAAGTCGGACATGGAGAATTCTGACTTGAGAGAGTTGATGATGGAGGTGAGTGTTTGTGGAGAATTGGCCATTAGGATGATATCATTAATGTAAACCAACAAGTAGGCAATGGAGGGGTTGTGTTGCATGATGAGTAGCAAGGAATCACTCTTCGAAGCACGAAACCCAAGAGATAGAAGAAATGCTTGAAAACAAAGGAACCACATACAAGGAGCTTGTTTCAAGCCGTAGAGGGACTTACGGAGGAGACACACATGATCCGGCCTTGAGTAGTCCACAAAACCAGCTGGTTGAGAGCAGTACACTATTTCATTGAGATCACCATGAAGAAATACATTTTTGACGTCGAGTTGATGTATGTGCCATGAGTGGGTAGCAAAGCTCAACACCACATGAATGGTTGCCAGCTTGACCACACGACTGAATGTTTCACCATGATCCACACCCTCTTGTTGCGTGAATCTGCGCATAACCCATCGTGCTTTGTAGCGTGGCAAGGAGCCATCCGTGTTAAACTTGTGGCGAAAAATCCACTTACCCGTGACAACATTACACCTGCAGGCTTAGGCACCAAAGACCAAGTAAAGTTGTTCATTAAAGCACTAAACTCATCTAGCATTGCTTGACGCCAATGGGGATCTTTGAGAGATGATTTGTATGTGTGGTATGAGTGAAATGGAGTTGGACGTGGCATCGACAAGAAATAATTGTTTGGGCATGACATCACCAATTTTGGCTTTGGTGGACATTTTGTGTGAGTTATGGGGGTGGTTGTACCTGGACTGCATGCATGGGCAGAGGTGACGTTGGGGTAGTGGGTGGCGTGGAAACTAAGGTTGATTTGGTGGGGTAAGCGGAAGATGTGGTAGGGCCGGCGAGCATGCGATCCGAGGGGGATGCGGTGTCAAGCAAGCCGACCGGTGCAGA